AGCTTAGAAACTACAAAGCAAGGCAGGTAACATGCTTTATTGGCCAAGGAGAAGAGATTTGTTTTCCATTACGCTACTGGCAAACAGAGGGAAGCAACATTCCAGATCACCATAAAATTGTAATCCGCAAGTACACCTCTACCCCAATATAATGTGGTAAAGCAGTGCTCTGGGGGGGGGGGGGGAGCTGCGCACTCCGGCGGATCAAAGCAAGTTCAATATAACACAGTTTCACCTAAAAGGCAGTAAAAATTTTTTGGCTCCCGAGGACAGCGTTATATCGGGGTAGAGATGTATTTGGATAGTTTAGGTTGTAAAATAGTTGCTGCTCTACCCTCACATAGTTATTTTTTAATTCAAATGCTTTGAGTGATAAATCAGTAACAATTTTTTAAACCTTGGTTTGTCTTCAAGTGTCCAGCTATGCCAGGCCATCTGTCTTATTCAATAATATATTAAAAATTTGCAGTTTGCTAACGCCAGAGTTTTGCTTAAACCCCTTTAACTTCCCTGGAGTGAGCTATGGGAGAGAGGCTAACTTCTCCTCCCCAGCTGCTCAGGCAGGGAATTGGGGAAAAGTTTTGATGGTTAGTGAGTAAATAACAAGATTGATTTACTATTAACTATCCATTATATTTTAATCAGGAATTCCCCTCTCATCATTGGGGGGGATGTAGAGAAGATGATGTCCAGTTAGATCAGTGTTTCTCAAATGCGGCCACCATTGCCGCATGCGGCCACCACGGGCTTTTTCTGCGGCCACGACAGCCTCCTGGGCGGTGATGGGGGGAGAGGGGAGCAAGAGGTAGGACACAACGCTGCAGGAGCAAGATGAGTTCTTGACCTACATTGGAGGGACAAGGGGATTTGGGCAGCAGGCTCCAGCGGCAGGACTTCAGGAACCTGGCCATAAGGCCCAGGCTCCAAACGCAGGGCGTCAGCCTCTGGCCCCTGGTTCCAGCTGCATGGCAGCAGGTGCTAGCTCCCGGCTCGTCCCGGGCTCCAGCCATAGGCGCCAATTCTCAGCCCTAACGGCACTGCAGTGGGCTCCAACTGTGGGGCTTTGGGTGCCAACCCGTGGCTCTGGCCGCAGGGTAGCAGGTGATGACGCCTGGCTCCAGTCACAGAGCTTCAGTTGACCTCTAGCCCCCAGTTCCGGCCGTGCGGTGGCGGGCACCGGCACCGGGCTCCAGCCACACAGCCCTAGCCCCTGGTGCTGATCCCCTGACCCAGCTACATGACAGCAGGTGCTGACCCACAGCTATGTTCCCGGCTCCGGTCACATGGTGGTGGGAGCTGGCCCTGGGTGCCAACCCCTGGCCCTGGCTGCGTAGCAGTGGGCACTGATTCCTGACTCCAGCCACACACTCCTGGGCTCCAGCTCCAGGCTCTAGCCGTGCGGTGGCAGGCATTAGCCCTGGGTGCTGACCCACAGCTCTGGCTGCGGGCTCTGATCCTTAGCTCCAGGCACGCAGTTTCTGTCCCCAGACCCTGGCTCTGACCACGCAACAGTGGGGCTCATCACCTACTCCCATCGCCCCCGCCCCCCAAAGCCCTGATTCCATACCCCCTCCCCATTCAGGGTTTAATGGGTCCTGGGGCTTGCTGAGAAAAGTGATATTAACAAACATGCAAGTATCACTTTTCACAGCAGACTTACTAGCTATCTGTGAAAAGTGATACTTGTACGTTTGTCAATATAACTTATCACTTTTCATAGCCTCCCAGGTAACTACTAAGTATGCTGTGATATTGAGATACAAAATCACTTTTCAAAGCAAGCCGCAGGACCCATTAAGCCCTGGATTGGGTGGGCCGAAGAGGGAGGCAGCATTATTTTTGTTGTTCAATCTGTCAAAAACCCTACACATATACATTACAATGATTTGGATGTGAATCTGTGCATACTTGTTTTTCCTAATGTTAATTAAGTATTTTAGGGAAAAAGTGTCAGTGCGGCTACCAGGGAGAGTTTGTGGCTGCACTCTGAAGCCACCAAAAATTTTGTTGCGAGAACCCTTGAGTTGGTTTAAATCATACCAAATGTTTTATATGTTTCTAATAAGATTGAAAAATATCTTTACAATATAAATATTTCCTCTTTCTTGTTGAATCAGGAGTGTCTAGTGCAGCAGTCCCTAAGCATAAAATATCTTCTTGCATATCTGTCTGTAGGGAGTCTCTCATCTCTGGCAGAACAAACACATTAAATGTGCACCTTAATTTTCATCAGAAAGTCTCCAGATTTATTTTTGCAAACGGTCCAGAAGACACACAGAAAAGGGGGGGGGGGGAAGTACAGCTTTCTGGGGAGCATCTTACTAAATTCACAATAGTGTAGATATTAAACAGGAGATGCAATCACATACATATTTAGCAATTCACACCTTCAAAGTGTTGTTCAAATGTTGTTATACTGCCACTACTCTTGTAAGGGAGGTGTTATCCCCATTTTACAGGAGGGGGACATTGAGGCAAAGGTCACACAGCAAATTGGTAGCACATATAGTTCACCTGACCACTCTGGCTAGCATGTCAAACTTAAGTCAAGTTATGCTTTAGTATCAAAAGCCATAGAAGTTGAAGAAGAAGAATTGTAGAATACATCTACATATCAACATGCAGAATACACTGATGTCTGTGTGCGCATAAATTCCCAGTGTTTTGTTTGATGTAGCCTCTTGTTTGGTGTAACACTTTTACATCATAACCAGACTAAGTTTCATTTATTGTTTTAGCATGGTGGCTGATGTTATGGAAACCTCCCTGAGCAAAGCTTTCTGTAACAAAGAGGGAGAATAGCTTAAGACCACTTGAAGTAAACAAGGAACTTTGATATACCAATCTAATTAACATGAAAGGTGCTCAAATGCTTCAGTGATGGAAGAAAATACAAAACCCTAAAATAGATAATTTTCATGTGGCTGTTCCGAGTGACCACTAACTACAAGGGAAATTAAGAAAACATCTTCATTGTTAATATCTTGCTGTCTCACCATTATTTTGTGATAGGCCTACCCTTCTTAAGTAGATGACTGACACTAGACTTACCAATATAAACAGCCTCTCCAAACTGAAGTAGTGTAACAATCTGTGATACCGTTACTCATGTTAAATAATGCACTGGTTTCAATGGCACTACTCATAGCATAAGATGCATTACAATTTGACCCTTAGTGAATTTAATGAATTGGGCTATTTTATTTCATTTCTTGTTGCTCGTCACAACAGAGTATAACATTTACTCTCTCAGAACAAAAGTCATCCCTGTAATTTCTGCACCACTTATGTCCCTCTTACACTTCTCAGTGCTTAAGTGGATTTTAAGTAGGATATAGGTCTTGTGCAGATTCCCTGTACAGCAGTGAATTTCACCCTTAATAATTTAGCATTTGTTGCATATCGTTTACAGTGAAGGGCTCTATAGGATGATACCCAGGCATCTTTATCTCCCAGTGAAGAGAAACAACTGCTGTGTTCTACCCCAGAAGTATAGGTACAATAATAACTGTATCTAACTGAAAGTTTAGGCAATCAGAAAGTGTTATCACTTGTAATATGACCAGGATACCAGAGTTGACAGATACATTGGTAGCAAAAAATCCAAAATCTTAAAATAAATAAATAAATAAATAAATCACCCACAAGTCGTTTTTAATCTAATGTGAAAGATAGCGTATCTCCCAAAGGACTGTGTTTGGGGCATTAGTTCAGTAGTGACTTAGAAGGAAGAATATCACTTCCTGCAGTAGCTGAAGTCTCCCATTCAAGTACTGATCCAGCCCAGTGATGCTTAGCTTGTGAAAACTGAAAGGGTCAGAGAACAAAGTGGTACCACCATAAAATTAGATACTTTAAACGCAGTATGCCGATTTTAAACTTGGTGAGCGATGGCCATTGTATTATGTGGAAAACTTTGAGCAAGAATCCAAAAACAAAGCCTAACATTTTAGTTGTCTGAGTTGTGGTGAGTCATTAAATATACAAAGAATAAAATTATGCAAGTTCATCTTCATTTAAAAAGTACACTTGAGTTTTGGAAGTTCTATTAGACCACTGAAGAGTTGCCCCTGTAGCAGATACCTAAGGGTGTAATCCAGTGTCCATTGGAACTCATTAATTTCATTACGCACTAGCTCAGCCTATAGGTGTGGTATATCTGGTACACAGACCCTGAACAAAATGATACTCTTTTATCCCAAGAGAGTGTTATTCAAATTAACATATGGATCATTCCATTTGTCCTCCACAAATAGTTGGCTTCTACTTTTTGTTTGCAAAGAAAACTCAAAAACAGTGTTTTATAAGGGGTAGTGCACCAGCCTGAAGAGACTATTGTTAGGCAGTTCTCCTGCCTTGTAGTTGGAAACAAACATGTTTCTGTGAACTCTAAAAAAGGGTGCTTTGCTTATTGCTGGTTAACGTATCAATATATAGAGTGCATAAGTGGCAGTACAGATTTAAATTACGCTGTTATAATGGAGACAGGAAATATTTTCTCAGCTAACACAAAATAAAACTTGGATATTTTACAAATATTATAGTATATTCTAAACATGTTTCCAGTGGAAGAAGCAATAAAATCTAAAGTAAAATGCTTGATAACCTGTAGCGATGCTACAGTGTTCTTCTCTTTCTGGACAATACGGAGTGTTTCTCACATCTGAAATCTGTATTTATCTACAGGAAAAGACTCTGCCCAGATGTCTATCATGGCTGTGTATGATCTTACTATGAAATACTGTACAACTAGCACACCTATACATATTCCTGAATGGAGGGGAAATGTGCATACAAAACCTCAGTACAAACAAAGAATAGCTGGTTCTCATTCCCTTTTCTAATTAAATATCCTGTTTTTAAAATCAAAACTAAATGACATTAAAAGTAACATACTTTTTGTTACTAATTTTATACTAGGTCTGCAGTATTAAGGAGCAAAAACTAAATATATTATGATCCAGTACAGCTTATATATAATTATTATTTTTTTTTTTTAGGCCCAAACTGCTTTGCAGAAACCACTGTCATTCCAGCTGGCCGAGAGGTGAAGACTGATGAATGCACTATATGTCACTGTACTTATGAAGAAGGCACTTGGAGAATTGAACGACAAGCTATGTGCACTAGACATGAATGCAAACAAATCTAGGGAATCTACAAATAAAAGTACTATGATGTTTTTATAAAATACTTCACTGCGGTGAAAACCCTAGATAAGCCTGGGAAAGATTATTCATTGTAATAAGAATATTTTTGGTGAGGAGAAAAGATCATCATACTGGTATTTTGTTTTTCATAGTTATGTAATACTGCAAGACAAAGAAATCCATATATTTAAAAAAAGTTTGGACATAAAAAATCCTGTCTTAATGTTTTATTTTCACGGTGAGTGCACTGAGTACACTCTATCAAATATTCTATGTATTTATATAATCCCATTATAGAGGTTAAAATAAATGTTTTATATAGATACAGATTAAAATACGGTAAGGTCGCCTGTCCTATTGTGTACATGCACCATGCCTAAAACATTTCCGTTTTAGTTTTATCATGACTTTATTTTTGGTGGGCAACAATAATAGACGTGTGGCCAGAAAATAGCCAGCAAATCAATCACATATTTCAGGTACTTTGAAGTTCTACCTTTTGAAAATATACGGTATAAGCTTTAAAAGAATGTGCTAAATTTATTATATGTGCAAAAGTAGGCCAAATTCTCTTCTCAGTTATTCTGGTGCATCTCCAGTGGGCCTGCACTGGTATAACTGGGAAGAGAGTATGAAATTGTGACTTTGATTATAGTAATCGTTTCAGAACTCTAAACATGGATCCTATAAGAATTAATTTCAGGATGAATTCATTTGTGATGTAAAGCGTCCTATATCTGATATAATGGCCATAAGTAACAAAACAATGAAACTTGCAACAATTTTACATTTAATGGTTGTGAAAAACAAGTACAACTGACAACAGAGGGTGACAGGGAGTATAACAGGACAAGCAACTAACAGGTGTAAGATAAAGCAGGTCTCCACTATTTTATTTAAACATGCTCTTGTTTTTCTGCTACTCTCATATATTAGATTTGGGTTGAATCACTACTGAGGCCCAGGTTCAAGAAAGCACTTAAGTATGGACTTAACATATGCTTTGATGAATTAGTGCAATGTTAGTAATGAGTAGTTAACTACATGACACCTGATGCGTAACTTACATTGTTTATCTCTCAGACTTCTATCAGGATTTTAATGGAAGTTTTGCCATTGACTTCAAGGGGCCAGGATTTCACACCAAGTATGGATTTTGCCCACATAGCTATCAATCGCCAGACAACTGTTTGTTTCTCAACCAGATCATGGACAAGAAAATGAGGAAACTACAAAGCAGCAAAGACATAAAATGCACAGCAAGCTTAAGTAACCATAACAATTAAAAATCTGAAGAAAAATAGTCCTACAACAAAATGTACCTTCAAGTTCACACATAGCCTCAGTCCATCTAGGCGGACAATCAAGGAAAGTAGGTTTTGGACTGATTATGATTTTTTCAAACGTCTTCTGAATCCATCAACTATCAAAATGATTTTCCTCAAGCCTATGTACATGTATATAAAGTACATCAAAATATTATACTAAAAAGCTATTATCAATAAGCAGCAGAAAGAATGTCCAACACATGTTTCACTCTTAGCATAAAAATATTACTCTGCTAACGGTAGTAAATGGAAATCACTAATGGGCAGATTGTGAAGAGCATCATCACGTGTGCACCCAATATGCTAAGCACTCTTGCAAATCTGGACATAAAATGCTTGATCCTGCTACCAATACCAACAATAGTACCTCATTCACTGAGTGGAAATTACTAGCGCAGTAAGGTCCTACTCAATCTAACTAAAGGTGGCAGAATTTGGCCCTAAATCAGAGCCAAAATCCTATTCACCTTACAAAAGTAGTTATGTTACTCAGATGAATAAAGCAAACAGATTTTGGTCCCAAGTTGCTAAAAGCTAGATTCACAAAGGTACTTAGGATTCCAACATTTAGGTGCCACTGGCATTCTGAAAACCACCACTCAGCTTCCGCCTAGCCCTGCAGGTGCCTGAGTTTCTACCAGTCAGCATGTGCAAAGCCCTGATGCTGCCCCACAGCTAATGAGTGAGGCTTCCGAGCAACCCAAGCCAAAGCCCTCCTGGGATTCTCAACCCAGGCATTCTCCACCTTCAACAGAACTGATTGAAAGACCCAACCCAGAATACCCACCAACACAGAGATTAGGGCACTCATCTGGAATGTAGGAGAGTTAGATTCAAATCCCTGTTCCAATTCAGGGGCATAGTTAATACTAAGCATTTTCCACTTCAAATTTTTAATCCTGACACCAACATATCCATTTCACCCAGAATTTCCTGTCTGATTTATGTGATTCCTCATGATTTCTCAGGTCTCTCTGGTTTACTGAAGTTGTTTCTCTAATATTGTTGAGTTGCAGAGACTGCTTTTTAAAAATCACGAGTGGGAGGATGACAAGATGGCTATGGAGATTCATAATGGGCCATGGAGCCTTTTTCATCTAGGTCACTGAACAAAAAGCCAGCCCAGGTCCATAGTAACTATTGCCAGCTGAGGGCTGTTCAGTGGTCTGTGTGAAATTGATGGGCAAAGGCAAATTTCTAGCACAGATGTCAATGCTACACAGAAAACAACCCATAATTGGCTCTGACTGGCATTCTTGTTGACAGCCTCAATAAAGAGGCAAAGGAGTGAACAAGTAGGAGTATTGTACTCCACAAGGGTGATTCTACTATGTCAGTGAACAGGAACATTGGCAATGTAATGTGTGGGAGCCTGTCAGTATGTACCTGTGATACCTGTAGATGTGAACTTCAGGCTCCAGCACTGTGAATTTGGCATCTTGTAGATGCACTCATTTTTATTTAGCGTTTAAAATGTGGTGATGGGAAGATTTAAGATAGACTAGGGCTAATTCAGCCACTGTGAAAGAACAATATCCTCTCCCCTTCAAAAAGAAAAAGAATATACAACCTGCTGTGGGATGTCGTCCCTCCCCAGGTGCTGAGGACTATAGCTGAAAGAAAAAAGTTACATTTTACAGAGAGTCTTTCAAATAGCAGTGGAAAAGAACAATAAAACCTTACCCAACATGGAATACAGGAAACAAAGACTGTCCATCTGCAGACTTTTTTTCTAAAACTTTTTAAGCAGCCCAGAATGTTCCTAGTGTCCATATTAGATACCAGTGTTAAAATCTATATTGATCTAGCTCTCACCACATAACTAAAGTAATATTCCTGTTTGAATCTAGGAGCACATGCAGTTTAATTTCTTCATACAAAAGTAGAAATAAAATCCAACTACATAGTTCCTAATGAGCAAAGCCACACACAGTGTATTGAGTTGCTGAGCGTATCATACTGAGAAGTGTTCGTCCGAGGTTTGAACAAAAATGAAGAAACATGAAAACAAGCTCTGTTTTGCTAACAGACAATTTACTGGTTACTGGAAGTTATATTTAACTCTTTCCAGTTTATAATTTTAATCAAATAAAACATATGTTACTGAAGTGAAGAAATGTCAGTTTGACATAAAATGATCATTTTAAAATCTGACTGTGGTAAAAATATGTAATACTGCAAATAATATTAGACAATGTATATTGTCAAAAACAGGGGACGACAGTTAAAATGGTCAAAGGCACCTGCCGATGTTCAAGCAGTATTACTTATTCCAGCTGGTTGGCAATTCTCTAACTTGCAGTTTTTCGTCCATAAGAACTAGTACCCTACCAAATACAGTGTCCATTGTGGTCAATTTCATGTTCATAGGATTTTAAAAATAGTAAATTTCTCATGTGAACATCTGAAACAGAGTGTTGTAACCCTGGGCCTCCCTACCCAAAAAGGAGCCATGGGTGGTCGCAGGATTCCCATCCTTACTTCTGTGCTACCTTCAGAACTGGGCAGCCAGAGAGCTTTGAAGCCAGTGCCAGCACCAGCACAGAAGTGAGGGTTGCAGGGTATGGGGGGAGTCATCACTTTGAGGGGAGGGGGCAAGGGCCAGCCTTATGGGTTGGCAACCACCAAGGGCCATAAGGCGCTGGAGTTGGGGAGGTGCAGGGCTGGGGGTGCCCCAGCTGGGGACTCCTACCATGTGCTGGGCTCCAGCTGCTTGTCCCGGCCAGGCTGGGGAGGGATGGGACTTCCTCGTGTCCTGCAGGGGCCACTCTGGGGGCTGGGTGAGACCCACTCCCGGGAACCTCCCATGGCTGCAGGAAGCTCTGCAGCTGCTGGTTGAGAGCCCAGCTCTGAAGGCAGTGCAGCTGTGGAGCTTCCAGCAGCCAGGGGAGATTCCTGGAGGTGGGTCTGATCTGACCCAGAAACAGCCCCTGCAGAGGAAGAGCAAGACCCTCCAGAGTCCAGCTGGGACTAGCAGCTGGAGCCCACCACATGGTAGGAGCCCTCCTCCCCTACAATAGCCAGATTTCACAGTTCATGGTGCATTTTTCATGGCCGTGAATTTGGTAGGGCCCTAATAATTAAATTTCAAGACCTGCTAATGGGTCATGAATAAGTCTGTATTTCATGGTGAACGGGTGTTTTGGGGGTGGGGGGAGGTCTGAAGATGAGCAGGCATTCTTCTTTCCCCAGTTGTTTTTAGTGTTACTTCCATGAACACAGGGTCTCTGCTTTTAATTCTCCTGCTTATTCCCTGTCTGAAATCAGAGCCAACTTAACAGTGCAACTCTGACTTCTGTGGCTTTACAACAGGAGTGAATTTGGCCTCAAATACGCATAAGCAGTTGCTGCAGAGATCATGCCACATACATTTTCTGATAGGGCAATATGCAGAGAATATTTAAAAAAAACAAACTGTCATTCCTATAAAATGTTCCTATTACTAAGAATGGGGGAAGAGGGGAAACAAATAGAAAATGTGAGTTCAAAACTATTTGTAAATATAACTTATTTTCCAGCTTTCTCCATGAAGCATTCAGTTGTTCTTTCTTTGTTCTTTTCTGTCAGATTCAAAGTGATGGTGAAGAGGGATGGAAACATAGTAGATGGAAAGGTTAAATGTTTAAAAAAAAAAAAACATTCAGAAGTTTGCTCCCATGTTATACTATAGCACAACTGCCTGGTACATTATGGGAGCCTTTAAACTGCACAAGTTGAAGCATTGGTATGTTCCTATCTAACTATTCCTATTGGGATTTGGGGGCAAGGGACAGGAAAGACAGAAACAGACAAATAGAAAAGACACCAAATAAAGAAGATAATATTGTAAAGGCAAATATAGCCATTCTTAAAGGTTTTTATAATGGAAAAAAAGGTGTGAGCAAAAGAACATCAGAAAGAGGAAGAGCCATAATGGTATGAGAGTGACAATGGAAGAAATACACCAATCCAAACATAAGGAGAAAACTACAGAATTTGAGTACAGGAAGGTGATGAACAGAAAGACTATGAGTGGGAGGGTAATTAACTTAGTAAGAAGAGGTTCATGGGGTGGGGGAACAAAATGAGTGGGAAAAGACAGGGAGGTTGCAATAACATATCTTAGGACAAAATAAATGAGGAGTATAACAACAAAGCAGTAAAGACGTTGACACAGCACAGAAGAGCAGAAGGCTGAGGCCCTGATTAGGAAAGTGCTTAAGTAGCTGTCCAGAATAGAGATGGATCCTTCAGTTGTTTTCCTCTCTTTTTTGGTGGTATAGACCTCAATCACAATTAAGAGATTCCTCACTCTTTAGAAAAAATATCTCATCTCTATATTCTCACACTATGTTTACATTACACTGCAGGACTATTAATTACTTTTAGTGTCAAAATTATATCTTTTGAAGGCAATTATAGTATATGGATCATGAGTTATTTCCACATTATATAGAGGGGATTTTGAAAAGGAATTCATTTAAAAGTCAGGCTGACACAACCCACCCAGATTACCACCCATTTCCCTTAACAGCCAACATGTTCCCTTTATATAATGTGTTTATATGGCTTCATGGAAAGTACACTCTGCCCAGTACATTGCTGACAAACCCCCAAGGAAAGAAAAGAAAATTCCATGGTAGGGAAAAAATATGTTACTTTTCACTTTGCTATCCATACATCCAAATTGTTCATCAATTCTAGGTGAAAAAGGAATTTTAGATTAAAGTTCAAGCATCTTATCATTTGTGATATTAAAGACAACCCTAAAATCTATCATGCTCCAATGCAAAAAAGGCATTGAGAGTGTTAAATTGTAGATGATGATGAAAGTTCTCATAGAAACACTTCGCAGTAAGAACCAGAATCTAATGCAACACTGAAACCATGGAAGCAAATGTCCCACGAAGCAGAAAA